GCTTTGAGATCGATGTGTTCCTCCTCTTCTACAGTTGAAAATTGAACGAGAGCACTAGAGAGACGAGTGCTTATTTCTTACTCAAATATAGAAAAGATAAAAGCTAAATGAGAGAAACAGAGAATGTCCGGACAAGGTGAACAAAACGTTTTGCGTGTTCCTCTTCTTTCTCTGCCCTCTCTTATTCACTATCTTCCCTTTGTAGCTGCTACCTGCTCTCCAAGTTTGGCTAACAGCTGGACGTCGCATCGGCTTTTTAGTTGTTCTCTTCTCATCAGGGGGCTTAGATAACTGCAGTTGATAATGTTTTTCTTTATTTCATTCGTTCTCAATACTTTTCTCTTTCATTCCACTCACTCTCTCTCTCTCCCTCTCTCTTTCTCTTTCTCTTTCACTTTTTTTATTTCATTTCCATCTGGTCTTCCTATTTACCTGTTACGATGGTAGTTTATCACAAGAATCCATAAACTGGCAACAGTACTGTCGAAGATTGTGAGTTGCGCTTCAACAACTTCGCAACCTCTCAGATAATCTATTTACCTCCAATTATCTCCTCCTTTTTTTTCATAATGCTCACTTGTTCTGAGAGAATGTTCATCATTCTATTGAGTTATGTTATTACTGCTGCTTCATCGTTCTGCCTTACCTTCCTCTTTCATGACCTTTTCGTTTAAAGAAAGAAAGCTGAAACTCTCTCTCTCTCCCTCTCTATCTATTCCATCATTCTCATTGCTATACAATGCTGAACTAAAAATGTTTTTCTTTGTCACTTTTCTTGAGAAACTTGAGTTACATGATCCAACTCACTTTACTGCTTTACGAAAAAAAAGCGTTTTTGTTTCTCTTTCTATGTGACCGTTTTAACTTTATGTTTCTCTCTCTTTCTCTCTCTCTCCCTTCCTGCTTCCCATTCCCCCTTCCCCCATCTCTCTCTCTCTCTCTCTCTGTACAAGTACAATTACAACTTCATACTTCTCTTATTCTCTTTCTCTCTTAATCATAAAGATGATGTTGATGATCAGCTGCCGTAAAGGGTGTGGTCGCGGAATGAATAGACAAGAGAAGCCGTGAATCTTTTAACTGTTCATTTCTAGTTGTCTTCTTCTTCAAAGTGAATAATGTGTTCGATGGTGACAAACGAAGTTTTCGTTACCTCTGAATGACCTTTGTTTCTCTTAAATCCCCTCTTACCTTTCTTGTTTCATTAGCGTTACATTTACCTATTCAATAATCTCTCATCCCATTTTGCATGTTTGGAATCCCAAGGACCAACAATGTGCGTTTTCATTTAAGAAGTAAAACAATCTCAACAAAGATGAAGACGCACATGAATGTTTTTCATATATGAATTAAGACGACGTTCATCTGAAAACTTTTTTTTCTTCCATTTCCATTAGTCGTCTTCTAACCTTTTTAACCCTTTCCACCATCCCTCCTCCTCCTTTCTTCCTCTTTACTCTTTCTCTCTCTCTCTCTGTCAGTCAACCAGACTCATAGACGTCGTCGCAATCACAGCATTTCTTAATCGAGAATCATTAACTCAACATTCTACATGTTATTCTTTCCAATCATTCTCTTATCCTATTTCATCATCATCATCTTCAACTCATTCATTTTCACTCTCTCAATGCCTGTCCTCACCTGGAATTCTCATATTGCCCAAGTTGTAATGCTTGAACTTGCTTCTCTTATTTGAGCTTATTATTCAACTGATCTTTGGGTCATCCTCCCCCACCCAACTGTTCTTTCATTTCGTTTGCGTTTTCACCTCATTTCTCTCATTTACACCCTCTCTTTCTTCTACATCTCATCATCAATCAGTCTTTCTCTTTCAACTTTTTTTTTATTTTTTTCTTATTTTATATGCATTTGGGGTTATATGGACACTATCATTCTCGTTACTACTACTAAGACTCTTCTCCGTGTTCTACTACCCCCTTCCCCCCTTCTCATTCTCTTCTTCAACTACTCAACTACCATCATTCATTTCCAAGTCGTTGTTCATTTATTTCTAATTTATTCCTTTGATTTCAAGGTTTTTACAATCTCTTCTCAAAACAAACCTCGTTAGAGACCATGTTTTACTCGTAAATCTACAGTATTGAAATGCCTGTGGTCAGGAATGGAAGTCGTTCATGTCCTTTGTACCTTTAAAAGGGGAAGAGAATAGCTTGATTCTCATATATCCCCCTCTCTCTCTCCACCCCTCTCACCGTCACCTTCTCCTCACTTCACTCTTTCATCTCTCTGATTGTCATCTCTCAATTAGTTATTCAAATTTTTTAAAATATTGAAAAGAAAAATTTTTAAAAACATATACGATCGGCTTAATTACATTAGTTTCGTTCTGTCTGGTTTTTGATTGTTACGTTAACTTGCGATTTCCTGTTTCCACATAAGACCATTAAGTTAAATATTTTTATGTTATTATTACTTATTCTCAACAAGTCTCGGCTTTTTCATTCTCTTTGTCCTGTTTCCAATTTGATATCGAACCTCTTCATCCTCATTCTCATCATTATCGTCCTCATCATCTTCATCACCTCGTTCTCTCTCATCTTCTTCATATCCTCAGGCGTTTTCAAAGTCATGCCAATATCTATTTCACCACACAAATCTGTTTTTCTTTTTTTCTTCTTTTACAACAAAAATGCTGAGAAATGAATGTTGTGTGTGAACGTGTGAGTAGCATTTCAGATCATTGTGATCTTCTTTCTCCTTGTCAGAGATGAACACATCTGCAATTGATCTCCATTTCCACCTCTTTCACATCTCACTTCCTCTCCAAATCCCCCTTTCTCCTCTCTCTCTCTCAATGTATGTGTATATCTCTTAGTCTGTATTTGATACTATTTTCAATATCTTCTCAAACAACCCTTTTTTTCGTGTCATTTCTGACATTCCTTCATCTATGCTCATTATCACATTTAGAGAGAACACGTGAATGTCTTCAGGAGACCTATAGCCGATCACTGTTTCTCTTATTGTTATTTCTCTTCTTTCGCTATTCTGAACCTCGTCAAAGATATTCGTCTTAGTTTCACTTGCATTGATATGTTACAGCAATTACCTAATTTGTGTTAACACTGATGATCAAACATCTTATTCATTCATCTCTATTTCGCGATAGACGGTTTGTGGGGGTGTTGACGAGTGGAGGGGGGAGTCCTTTGGTTTTCTGTTAAAATTGAAATTCTTTTGATCATACAAACAATCACGTGATCAATAGTTATTGATTGATTAATTAGAATATCTTTGTGATATGATGGGCGGCACGCCAATTTCTCGAATTATTCAGTGTCTTCTTTGAAAATGCGAACACACAGAACGGTTGAAGTCTACCTCCTTCACTCTTGATTGTTGTTTCATTCTATCCCTCATACATACACACACACACTCTCTCTCTCTCTCTTTCTCTCTTCTGCTGATTATTCTTCTCTCATCAATAAAATCTATTTCAAAGATTCTTAATCATATTCATATATATCCTAATCTGGTAAGAATGTACTGTCCATCTGATGTATTTCCATTCATCCATATTCAGTCATGTATTCACTCCATAACAGTCTAAATTAATAATATTCTTTGAAGTTTGATTGGTGAAACCGTTTCACTTCCGCTTTTCTCACCCCTGCCACCCCCTCCCACCTTCATCATCCCCCCCCTATTCAGTCTCTTTCTCTCTCTCTCTCTTTCTTTTTCTCTCCCTCTCTCTATTTCTCTCTCACTTTCTCATCCATTCTTTCTTTCATTTTTTGATTGAAGCATTTCGTTTCAATAAAATAGCTGATAGTAGTTGTATCCGATCTCTTTTTACCCAAACGAATCTCATCAATAAAAATAAAATCCAAAGTCAATCCCATCCCCCCCATTCAGTTAATCCTTGGCCTTCAGGCATTGTTTACGAACAAAAAAAATGTTTGATTTATTGAAATATTTTCAGTTTTTTCAAGTTGCTAGTCCTCTAATGGATGATTTCTTCCTATTCAATCTGAGCTCACCATTCGATGATCCATTTTTCCGAGGTAAACTTCATGATACAGTTAAGCTCACATCGCCCTATCCATTTCAGATCGAGCGGCTTTCACATCATCATTCAGAGATCGTGGAAGTAATCCTCAACCGTTTAATGAAGTAAGCTCAACATCTTACGATAATTCGTTTCCCAAACGAACGCAAGTTGTTCGAAATATTCCAATCGTCGTTCAGGTATGATTATTCTTTTTCATAAATCACATCTCACATCCATAATCTCAGAATGGACGACAGCCTCAGCAAACAAGTTCAAATTTTAATATTTTGGATGACGTCATGACTTGTTCATCGCCGTCAACAGCTCTTCACCACTCACATCAACCAACTTCTCATCAAATCCCCGGAACTTTGAGACGAACTGTTAGGTTTGTTTGTTTTCATATTATTCATGTCCTCCTTCTTCCATTTATGTTATTCAACTAGATGAACTCATTTCTTAGACATTGATATCACTTCTCCAGCTGTGACTAACACCCATCTCCTATTTTCTTTTATTCAAATTTTTCTAATGAAATAGATCGTATGTTTCTTCCTACACCCATGCGTACATTGAAGAAGACGAGAAAGAAAAAGAAGAAGAAGAAGAAGAAGAAGAAGTTTTTTTTTTCCGCATTCTCCATGTTTGTGCTTCTTCAATGATTTTCTTTGTGATGAACTGTGATGGGCAATACGTCAGATGCCCCTGTAACCTATACCCTTCGCCATCTTGACGATAACGACGATTAGCACAAGACACACCCACTTGCATGCCATGAATGCTATGAACTCTCCCCACCCTTACCATATAACATTTTTTTCTCCTGTAAACCTTCTCTCTCTTCTCTCTTTCATTCTCTCTCTCACTCTTCACTCTGCCCACCTCTCTTTCTATCCGCTTCATTCTCTTCCATATTTGAGAGGGTGTGGAACAAAACAACTGCCCATCACTACTACTGTTTCATTCATCTCATTTTGATTATCGGACAATGCCATTTATCGGCTGTTTCAGTAGTGGACCAGTCTCACCACAGCCTTTGAAGGAGCGTGTTATTGATATCCAAACAGTACCAGCTCGGGCTCCATCTCCTCCTGCTCGCCGTCATTTTCTATCTACTGGAAATCTAAATATTCCAAATATTGATGAGCCTACCTCGTCATCTCTAGCTGATAACTGCTATGATGATTACGATAATCATAGTTATTCCTCTTCCGATACAAGACGACCAGCACGGACATTGATTCTTCCTTCTTCCGTTCCAGGACGAAGCATTGAAATTCCTCTTGGCTCTTCTAATTATGATTCTGTTCCTCCTCCACTTCCACGAGAACACAGGTATTTCATTCTTTTTTTATACATATTGTGTGTATGTAGCTAGTATGCTAATACTTCGCGCGTCGTTTCACGTGACATCTGCGTGGAATTGCTTTTTCATTTGTAACATTCGAAGGCTGTTGATCGGTTGTTTACAATTCTTGACTGCAAATTCAACTTTTTCTTTGTTTTTCCTTCTTTTTTTTTTTTGTAAAAAAAACCAAAACGATTGTCTCATTGATCGTTTTGTGACCAAAAAAACGGGAGCAACAGAGAGAGGTTTTTCCATTAACAACTCGTTTGGCCAGCGTTTTTTTAAACAAAAAAAAACATAACTAAGCACTCGGAAAGTAAAAATTGATTAGATTGGCTATTATTATAAATATCTTTTATGTTTTGGTGTAAATTGATGATTTCAGTATCAGCAAAGAAAGAAAACCGGATTCTTCAGCTGCATCTCAACTGGAGAAACTAAGTCAACGATTGAAGAAGCTCGGTAATATTTTCGTATTGTAAAGACATTTAAATGAAAAAATATATTTGCAGCTCAGCCATTCAAGCATTCTTCCAATCATCATGATGATTACATTAAAACAGCATCAATGCCCAACCTACTGCAAAAGGAGAAGCGGGTAGAAAGTCCAACAAATAGCAGCGGAATCGGAGCTGATATAATGGATACAACAGATAGCAGCAATTCGAGCGAAGAACAAAAGGTTTTTTTTTAAAAAAAATGTTTTTCTTATTACATTCTTCAAGATTCTTTGATTGTTTTCATTTCAATTCTTTTCAATTATCATATTTCATATATATATATGCATTGCTAACAATCTCATTTTATAGCGAACATCGGATTTATCTTCGTTATCTGACCAAAACAGCCTGTTATCGGATATTGCTGCTGATGACACAAGGTATACATTATCATTTCTAAATATGTATATGAATATGTAGACCTCCCGACGAGAAGAAGTTAAGAATCATATTTAAAAATAAGTTTTTATGAATGGCAGATGAGATAACCGTCTTTCATGTCAAACAGCCAAGTGTAGTAGAGAAACAGAGAGAGAGAGAGAGAGGGAGTTAATGAGATAGAAGAGGCAGTAGGAGGGGGGGGAGGTTATCATGCACAAACTATTTATGAGAGAGAGAGAGAGAGAGTACTGATAACACTTATTATCTGTAGGTAAGGTTTATTCATCGTTTCTTCTGTTATTTTTCGCCATTCTGAGCCATTTTTTTCTTGCATCTATTTACCAAATCTGTCGCGACCCATCTTCCTTATGATCATCCAATGTGTTTGCTCAAAAAAATGCATAAAAGACATCTTCGTATAGACGAGTCTATGCTTGTTTCTTTTGCCACAAAAATTAAATATTTTTATGAAAGTCAAATATTTAAAATTTTATTTCAGAAATTCCACAGTTAATAACCTCAAACAACCATATTTGAATCGATTAGCTAGAGAGAAGTCTCCGTCAACGAGTGTTTTACAAACGGTTTTGGATCAGATTGGAAGGGAGAACAAACCGAAGATTCCGGTAATTCAATGTTCGATCATATGTTATTCATACATTGTATTCTGAGCAGATTCTGTCAACTTTTGCTGGCAGCAGAAATTCTGATCCACTTTCGGGCATTCTAATAGACGAAGACATCTATCGTTCAACTATGCCGAAATGGGCTCGACCTCAAAACGAACCAGTAGTCAATCCATTAAATGATTCTAAACTTTACAAGTATGTTTATGTGTACGAAGAATCTATTACTCATCAGTCTCTTCAGCAATAGTGATATGGAGAGTGAAATCCAAAATCGAAAACGGGTTATTTGTAACAAGATGGCAGATGCCTTGAAGTTGATTGAAAACGGTGTTGAGCAGATCAAGAAGGTTTGCATAATATGATAAAATGCGAAATAACTCGAATGTTCTTTCCAGGCAACCGCTGCTCAAAGATGGCGTGGAGCTCATATTCTTCAAGCCAATTTGAACTCTCTACAGAATGCTGTATCCACCATTAATGAGTCGCTAGATAGTTTCGTTGTTAGCAGTGGGAGAATATCGGTAGAAAACGGTTCTCCTAAATCAGCAGGTAAGCAATATGCGAATCGTCATCCTTCTTATATCCAGTTGTTCAGAACTTCAAAGACTACTGGCTCCCCTTCTTCAATCTCGGAGTCAAATTGCTTCTCTTCGTAAATCTCTAGATTCCACTGGCTGGACTGTAGCCGCTCTGTCTCGTGGAAAGGATCACATTAATACAATGGATCCTCTCGAACAGTTTATTTCACTTTCTCAAGAAGTATTTTTCTTTCCTAATTATCTATCATCTTCATTGTTAACTTTTAGATTCCAACAGCATGTCGTTCATTACTTCAATGGGTTCAACTGCTTGTTCCATCAAACACTGTTGTTTTCCTTAGTCCATCGGCGATCGTGTCGAACAGCGCATTAACAGCCCTGACTAGTATGTCCCAAAATCCAGCTTACAATACACGAACGGAAGATTTGAAGAAGTAAGTTTGTTCATTTTCTTGCCATTCAATATTTTCTTGTAGTCCAAATTTCTTGAAAATGGAAGAGAGACTGAAAGGATCTGTTCCAAACATTCACGAAATCAAAACCATCCCAATCACTCACGCACTGTCGTCCATCGACATTCTGTCTGATCAGGTTAGTACAGCCACAGCACACGTATTATCCTTTTGTTGTCCGTTAAGATTCCTTCTGTACCGTCTATGAATATTTTACCCTCAAGCTTGCCATCCTCTGTGAAATCTGCTTCTTCGAGTTCCAATAGTAGTACTTCTGAATATGCTACGATTGGTCCGAAAAAACAAGTACTCATCAAAGCTTAAGAGTTAGACAATTATCAAAAATCCTTTCAGAACGCCAATCCTCTTAAAGACGCTCGTATTCTGGAAGAAGATGACTTAGAATCTGTGTACAGTGATAGAGAGAGTCTACTCCAGGATTACGCTTATTTGGATGATGCTGTTGCTGGTCGTACGAACAACTCAACTTCACCGTTCATCAATGAAGAAGTAAAAACAGCAAATCTTTCTCAAGTTTTACACTTTTTTCTAGGATCGTCAGCTAGTCAGATTCTATGCTCCTCAGATAAAGCAACATATCGATGCTTTGGGTGATGCCATAGAAGCCTTCTTAGCAGCAGTCGAGAACAGTTTGCCTCCAAGAGAATTCGTTCAAAAAGGAAAATTAGTAATTGAGACAATTTGAAACGCCTTACCAATTCTATCTCTTTCTAGATCATTCTGACTGTTCATAAACTAATTTATATTGGAGATACCATCTCCCAATGTGTGAAGGACAAAGTTATCAATGAGAACATGAGAACCTGTGCAGACCGTCTCTGTGAGCTGTTGAAGCAGTGTGTGCGAGCAACTAAGATTGCTGCTGACGAGGTAACAACACTCTTGGCTCATTTAATAAACTTCACCAATTTTTCAGTATCCTGATATCAGGTGTATGCAGACGATGGTAGATAGCATAATAAATGTCTCAAAGTCTGCTCATGATCTTAAAGCTATGGCCAATAATTATTGCTGAGATAAGGCAACCTCACGTCTGAATCTAGTCCGTTTTAAATGTTTCGATACTCACTAACTTTACACGTGAACTTCATTGTATAATATGATGTAAATAGATATATCTAAATGTAGATTTTTATCATGAGACAAGTAAATCGTGTCCATCATTACTGTCTTCCTCTGAAATATACTCATGCGACGACTGTCATAAACGCCCTCCTCTCGTGGCTTCCGAAGAAATTTAAAATTGAGACGATTGAGAAAGCTGAACATAAGAATAAAAAACTCTAAATGGATTGTGAATCTATTAGCAGTAACGGTGAATGTTATCTGATGTGTTAACTTTCAACATGACAAACCTTATTCGTACCACCCTTTCCTCATTTCGTTTTTGGCCATTCGCCTTTCCCCTTGCGTTTTCGAGTATAGAATTCAGTATCCTATGCTTTTCGCATCCTAGCTACTCAGAGGAGTTCGGATGATCGAGATATTGTAACCTCTTCTACTTCAAGATTCGAAAACTTTCAAATAGTGTCATAATTTATACAAACATAATGCGTGCCATCGCAAACTTGATTTGTGTCAAACATACTACCAATTGAGAGACGAGAAAGTGCAAACTACTGATCAATCCTATTTTCGACAATATTCCATTGGATATGTATTGATTCAACTAAGATGAAGTCTTTTCGTTTTAAACGCTAGGAACGGAAATCTTTATTGATCTCTTCAGACAGTAGTTTGTGTTTTCATTCTACCGTACACAGGCACAAAATTTGCGCCAACTCATCTTCAAGCAAACATTCAGTGTTGCTCGTGTGAGCACGACGGTTGCCTGCTTCTTTATTATTGGATAAGTAACTTAATAATAAAGTAG